CCTGTGCTCTCCACGCTGAGCAAACAGGAAATGAAATTCAAACGTTCGCGGGTCTTTTTCCTGTCTACCTGGTCAGTGCATCTGAGTTGAGAGTGCTGTCCAGAGCGGTCACAATGAAGCACTGTGGGATAGCTCCCGGAGGCCAATAACGTCGAATTCCGTCCACACTACCCCAATTCCGACCCGCAAAGGCCGGATTTTATCGCTAATCCCCTCGTCGAAGGTGGTGTAAAGAAACCGGTTTAAAGGACCCCTTAAGTCGAAAGAAAGGGCTTCGTCGTGTGGACGTGTCCAGGCTTAATTCGATTTAACGCTGCTAAAGTCAACCTAAACCCGTAGTGTAGACCAGGCCTCGGTCTATTTTGTATCCTTTTACCAGTACGCTTAAGGCGATGGCTACACTGCAATTAAAAACCCAGGGCTGGCCCATACCAGCTGACTCAGAACTGTGGGACTTGGGCTAAGGGGCTGTTGAATTGCAGTATAGATGTTCAGGCTTGGGCTGGAGCCCAGGCTGTAGGACCCTGCAAGGTGGGAGAGTCCCAGAGCTTGGGCTGCACCCTGAGCCTGAACATCTATACTGCAATTCAACAGCCCCTTAGCCTGAGCTCCATAAGCCCAAGTCAGCTGGCACGGGCCAGCCACGGGTGTCTAATTGCAATGCAGACATGCCCCTAGCCATCTCAGACCTGGCAGCGTATTGCTTTATTAAATGTAAACAAGTAGCAAAAAAGAATTGCCTACTAAACATTGAATTCCTCTGGTAATTTTTAAATTACAGCTTTTGTCATTATCTTTTATCTCTGGAAGGTTTTGTTCCCAACTTTATGCCCTTTCTGGCACTACATGTTTTTAATCTAAGGTTGTATTTAGTGGCATCAAACACTGTCTGCCAGTCTAATAAATGAACTATAGTCCCTTCTGATTGTAAAGCATGTCTTTGATGTCTACACTTCAACACAATGAGGAGAGCTCCTCAGAACAGCAATGCCTCAAGGAAAAGGGCAATCCTATTCACTAGCTTCAGAGTTAAGTAGAGTTTAGGCAGAAGCTTTTGCACCTGATCACCCCTCCCTTTAAACCATATACGTGAGTGTGAGTGTACGAGAGAGAGAGAGAGAAAGAGAGAGAGAATGAAGATGTGAGGAAAAAAGAAGTTATGCAAATCAAAAGTTATGTATGGGTTCACTTTGACACTGTTTAAGATTTCTTTAGCAGATAAAGGCCTAATGTTAAATGTGAATTGATATAGTAATACAAAGTTGCAGGATAGAACTCAGTTACAATGTCTTTTTTTGGCCTGTAAGGCCTTTAGTTATTCTTCGTCATTAGGTAAGATTTTTCCCACTTCCCTTCTTTTTTGGCATGATTATCGCTCAATTATTAAATGCACAACACTGCCTTCTGCAAGAATTTCCCTGAAATATTGCTAACACATCTACCTAAAATGCTTATATGGCCCTCATCACTATAGTATCTGAGCACCTCATAATCCTTTTATCCCATTAGTCATATTTTAGCCCTTAAAAATGTTGCCTACTGCAATTTGTTGGTGCAGAAACTGGATGAATTTGAAAGTCCACGAGGAGAAACTTGCTTGAGGATGGGTAGGTGTTACAGGTGGTTTAAGCAAGTAGGAGGAAGGGTTATATATGTGTGGGAGATGAGAACAAGAGAGGTCCAGAAGGATAGCAGAAAGGTCTGGATGGGTGTAATAAAGGAGGTCCCTATTGCTGGGAGTCAGTCAAGATTTGTTAGAGAAGAAGCAAGAAGGTTTAGGAGTGGAGACGGCAGAGACTGCCAAGCAAGGGATGCTGGGAAGGTTCTAGAGTTGGGAGTGGTTAGGGTGCCTGTGCTGAGTGAAAAAGTTGGGGTTGGTTTGTCATCATTTGCAATGAACTGAGGGCTTGTGGGAACTGACAGAGTGATTCTGATGGATTATGCAATGCATAGTATGAATTCAGTCTTCAATACACATTTACATACTATTTTTTCCACAGGACCCTGGCCTCATTCAATACACAGGATGGATGGTGCTCACTTCATGGTATTTTACTTTCTCCTCATTATTCAATGTGTGGCCACAGGCTTTATTTACTCCACACTACTCAAACCCTGCTTTGAAGACAGAATTATTGATTTCCTCATGCACTTTTCTATGGCACTCATTACTATAGCATCTGAGCGCTTCATTAATGAATGATCACAAGACCATTGTGAGGTGAGAGGTTATTATGCCCTTGTTACAGAAGGAGAACTGAGACATGGAAATTAAGGTCAAAAGTATCCATTAATTTTAAGTGCCCAAATTGGGACCTAATTTTTCAGAGAACTTATTATATAGCATTTTCTATGTAAAAACACAGCACCTATTGACTGCAGTTGTGAGTGCTCAGCAATTCAACAAATCAGACCATACAGTCTCAACTCAGGCATCCAGAAAATGAGGAACACCCAGTTAGTGACCAACTGCGAAAAGTTTGGTATAAGAGACTTGCCCAGCATCACAGAGGAACTCTGTAGCAGAGGCAGGGATAGAATACAAGTCTCCAGGGCAGCATTCAACTGCCTTAACCATGGGACCGTCCTTTCTCTTCCTGCAATCCCCTGCCTCATTCACTACACACCTTCCAACTTCTGAAACAAATGGGGGAGGGGGAAGGGGGAGTATGTAATTATGTAATTAAAGTCTGTATCATAATACAAGGAGACCAAATTAAGGTTGCCCTGGCAATCTTAGTTCTGTCATATTTTAACTTTTCAGTGCGTGTCTTTGTAACCTTAATGTTCATTTAACGTATTTTGTGTGTAAATTCTTAGTTTTTTTTTTTTAAAGAACCTAGCAAACAAACACCACACACCCAAAAAATGCCATCATGTTGACACCCACACTGGTCATCCGCAGGGCTGGAAGCTTTAGAGCCACCACACAAACCTCCAGCACTTGAGCTAATGGAATAACTGATAGCAATAGCAGGTAGTCATCCTCCAAGTGGATCAGCACTAGAGGGGGGTGAGCGTTTGGCAGTGGATGTCACAGATATTTGCTGACTTAGAGGAATGGTGAGACTCAGGGATCTTTGACTCCATTCCAGGATCTGGAGGGAGTTTGGTCCAAAGAGCACAGACTCTTCTGCCCACACCCCTTAAATGTGACCCCCCTTCTGCCCAATCACCTCCAATCTGACCTTATCCCAGTCTTTCCCACCCATGGTTTCTCATCCCAGTCTCCTTGCCCAGCTATTCCTGATCCTGCCTTCCTCTTTTCCCTCTCTCCACTAATTTCCAGTCCCAATCTCTCTCCCTAGACAACTCGTCCAATCTCCAAGCCCCTCACTCCTGGCACAGTCTCTTTGCCCAACCAGTCCTAGTCTTCTCATCTGTTCTCAGTGCCCAATTCCCCCTCTCCACTGACACACCCATTTTCCTCCCTGGCTCCCATACCCAGTCACCTTCTCTAACCAGTCCCAGTGTCCTCTCCCCACAGGCTCCTTGTTCCAATCTACTTGCCCCCAATCCTGCAGATCAGGCGCTTCTCCCTTCTCCATTCAAATCAGGCAGCTTCTTCCTCTATGCTTCTTGGGCCCAGCAAGAGGTCATTGAGAGCACAGTAGAGGTACTCCCAGCTCTCAATTCAGATGGCCAGAACTGGCCTGACCTGGCCCAGAGCAGCCCTGAGGTGCAATTGCAGGGAAAGTCCTGGCTGGAGCATGCCAGTGGGGGTAGAATCTTCAGGGAATTAAGCTACTAAAATCTAAGACATCTCTACTGAACATGGCCAAACTATGATTCTTTAAAGGCTTAAAACTTGGGCAAATCTGGCAAAAGGCACATCCCTGACAAATTTCAAGTCTCTGCTCCAAAGCATATAGGTGCTAGAGCGTCACAAAAAAAAGGTCACCAGACTATTTTAGCATGGGCAAAAAAAACCAGGTACTTCTCTCTAGCCTCATTCTCAGAAATAGCCAAACCATTTTGGCTGAAATTTTCTGAAACAATTCAGCCTGAGGTAGACATCCAATGAGCATGCAAAATTTCAGCACAAATGGTTAAAATTTGCAATGTTATAAACAACTAATAACAAGGCCTTATAATGGGAAGTGTCAGGCAACCTTAATAATAGGTGATGCTACCAGCTCTGCCAATCATAAAATATTTTTCCCCTTAATATTTTTAAAAAGTGAATTTGAGGATTTGTGAAAAGCCAGATGGATCACACTGGAAACTTAAATTGTTTATGTACAAAACAACCAGTGGTACTACTAGCTCCATCATCTCACAGTCCCACTGACATGCCTCAGGAATCACCTCTGGATGTGAGAGGCAAGAGAAGTTCAGTCTCCAGGCTCATTCGGTCCTTGCCCTTTCTGTGGCCTGAGACTGACAACAGGAGTGTCAGCGATTGCACTTTCTGTGATGCGAACATCTGCCTACTAGGGACTGGTCTGAAACCATCAACACATTTTACACAGGGCACCAAAGGGACACCAGACAGCAATAACTTTTGGTCACTATTGATCTGGTCTGAATTTAAAACAAGACTTCTAAACATGAAAGGCTCACTCATCAATTATTACCTAGAACCATCCAGTCCCCTCCTAACAGTGCTTTGAAGAATGTTTATGGAGTAGTAACTCATCATAATGCCCCAGAATAATCCCTCATTATAAGGAAAGTGCCTCACTTTGGTGCCAGCGTTGTCTCACTTCACTCACGGAACTCAGAAGGGACTACTCCTCTGAAGGCAAGTGGGATGTGGCCCATATTTGTACATTCAGGTCTCAATTGTGTGTGGCTTGTACAGGCTCAAGGGGTGGGATGGGATGAGGAGAAGGGCATTGTTTGCCACTCCTATGTAATAGGGTAAATGATGCAGGTGTGTGGCCATGACTTCACTCAGTGTTCTCACCCCATTCCGATACATGTTCTTTGGGACAGCTAGTATGGACAATAATACTCTGTGCTCTCCTGTGCTGGGAAATTGATTGTGCTTCTCCACCTCATGGGTGCACTGATGTAGGGCTCATTAAACCCTCCCCTGAGTCTAGCTCACTTACCTGACGGAGGCATGTGTGACGGGTTGGATCACAGAAACCCCCTTGGGACTGCCAACTGATGTGCTGAGACTACTTCTGACCCATTTTCCCTTCCAGCTTGGGACTCCAGAACCTTGCCAGTTTGAGCCAGACACACTAGCCTGCTACAAACCCAGACACAGGTCTGAACCATGTCCCCCAACAGCTGCAGGCTTAACTGAAAACAGCTTAAGAAATGGTCCCGTCTCTAACACTCAGATGCCCAGCTCCCAATGGGGTCCAAACCCCAAAAAATCCATTTTAGCCTGTATAAAGCTTATACAGGATAAACTCATAAATTGTTTACCCTCTATAACACTGATAGAGAGATTTGCGTAGCTGTTTGCCCCCCCAGGTATTAATACATACTCTGGTTTAATTAA